ATCAAAGTAAGTCAGAATGGATAAGCATCTTTCTTCAGAGTAGATAACCAATAAGGACCATGTGGCAGAATCATGATCTGAATTACTATGCTATTGTCTTTACAGAAGAGTAAACTTTTATTATACCTTGTGTGAGCATAATGCTGCTCTCCACCTATGGGATAATATAAAAAACCAAGTCATTGTCTACGCCTTGCATTCTTTTTGCGCAAGTGAATAGTGCTTCAGTTCTTTTACATTCTTTGATTTTGCCCATCTTTTTCAAGATGGTGAGATGTTCATCCACATGGTGCCAAAATGAAAGTCACTGTCCTAAAAAGGTCAGGGCATTGCAGAAGGTTAGAAGCCATAGGGATCTAGGAGACCAGACTATCCAGGGTGTTTGTCAGCTTACTGAAGCGGAAGCAGAGGAGCAAGAGTCCAGCAACTTGCCTAGGAAGTCACAGCCTTTACTTTCCAAAAAGCATGAAACACCAGAGCTCCAAACATCAACTAAATCACTTTTTCCTCTTCCTTTCCTCTAAGTTTTCTATTGATGAAACACACAGAGAGAAAACCTGCATCCACATGAGTAGTAGCAGTCAAAGGAGACCCCTTAGAAAGATGCACTCAATAGTTCACTTACAAGCTGATTATTTGTAGCAGATATATACATATTTTACTAAAGGAACCACATGGGAGTAGGTAAATGGCCCGTGGAAACAGCAGTGTCTAAAATGTAGTGCCAGTGGTGAGCTCCACGACTTTTTATAAAGGTGTTTCTATTAAAAATCACTTCTCAGAGCTCCTGTGTTTTTGCCAGGTGCCCATCGGCCAGCAGCAACATAGGCTCCCAGCATCTTGCACATCTGACTTACTAATTCCCAGTGTCTCTTTCTACAGGATGGCTGCAGTGGCACTGGCCCGGAGGAGAGAACACATTCCAGGATGAAGCATCATCTGAAGTTTATCCTGCAGGGGCAGCATCTAATATTCATCTCTGCTCCTCACCTTCTATGTAGCAGACTATCTTTTCTCAGAGTTTTCCACAAACAGGACACAGACATAGAAATGTGCACATGCCTTCTCCTTCTGTATGAATTTGTAAACTTAAACCATTCAATCAATCTTGTTGACAGAAGGTTTTCCTATAGTACACAGTTTTGAGTTTGCTCTATTTAAAAACAGTATATTTTCCCCCTGGTAGTTAATATTCTGACAGCCAAAATCTTGAGATTCTGAAGGATTTTAGTGACATATTGCTGGGCTAAACTCCAGATTGGTTAAAATAAAGTGGAAAACTAAATCAATAGAACTTACTTTTTCAAAAGTTCATCTTGGATGAGTTTTTTTTAAATTCAAAGTACAATATAAAAACTTTACTATTCAAATAGCAGCCAGTAAGCCAAGCAAAACAAAAAGTCAAAACTAGGGCCGGGGATTTAGCTCAGTGGTTTTGCTGCCTGCTGCACAAGCGCAAGGACCCAAGTTCGATACCTGGTACCAAAAACAAAACAAAAAAAGTCAAAACTATACATTATAAAAATGTAAATGTTTAGGAAGTAAAAGACAGTTTTGTCTTAAGCCTTAAATTCAAGCTTAGGCATGGTCAAAAGGACAAATTTTTCTGTTTGCAAAGAGGATATTTCAGCATTTACTATCTTCACAAGATGATCTTACATTTAGGCTGCCCCCAAGTGTTCCAAGAATGATACTGGTGGTTGTCCAAACTGTGTGCCAGAATCTCTTTTTTTCCTATTTGAAATAAAGTGTGCATTTTTCAATCAATACAGGAAAGAACACTGGACTTATAGACAGAACTTCGGCGATGATTTAGCTCTGCTACATATTCTTCTGTGGATTTTAAAATCTAATTATTTGCTTTATTTAATTTCCTTTTGCTCCTGAGTTTTTTGTAGGAAGTGGAAATAATATCCGTCATAATTAGCTCACAGGCATGTGATGATTAAATTATTTCATATACAGGGTAATACTTGATAAAATATAAAACTTGACATACAGCCACTAGTTACCCATGTAAGTGAAATCAACTGTCCTCCTGTAAGAGCAAACTATTCTACTATACTGGGACACACTGGAGGAGAGAGCTATGATTATTTTTCTAATATCTAGTTCTATAACCTTAGCAAATAAAGCTTTTCTTAAAATAGATGCTTCAAAAACCTCTGTCAAACTTTTAGACCTTAAAAAATCCCACGAATCCCCCAAACTCCCCTTTAGATTTCTTTTTCTTTGAACTGAACTACTAGTGAGAAAATACATGGAATCTGAGTCTACCATGAAACGAACAAGGAAATATTTAATCTTTCCACAGACCACATCCCTTTTCTGAAGATATCATCTAGCTTTAACAACTAATGTTTTTAAGAAATCTGTAGCATAATCCACATAATTTATTGCACATTTGAAAATAAAAAAATCATAATAACAACTGAGAGAATCTTCAATATTTTTTAAAAACTCATCTTAAAGTTTAAAAAATACATCAGTCAAATTAAATTTTGAAATCAATATTCATAGAACAGTGCTAAAATCTCAATTCTCTTTGTTTAATTGAAAATATTAAGAAAGTAAAAAAGCCAATAGCAAAAAGTATTCTATAGCTCACTGTATTACCAAATCATTTTGTTTTCTCTGTTCAATTATTGACTAGGATGTCTAAATTATTTTATATTTTTTTAAAGAGAAATAGTGATATATACTCACTAATTTTATTTTAGATATTGGCGGGTTTCCAATCTGGCCAACTGAAGTCTTGCACAGTAAAATTTGGGTATTCCTTTTTTTCATTTTTGGTACCAGAGATCAAACTTGGGACCTTGTGGTTGCCAGGGCAGCACCGGAACCACTGAGCTAAATCCCAGCCTATCTTCTTGTAAAAGCTCATGTAAACTATTCAATCATCAATTCTTTAAAATTCAAAGTTCTGTGGACTGGTTTTATGACTATTACATGGTTTATACACATCAGTTCAAATTTGGGTTTACTTTTTGCATATGTAAAAAGTAAATATCTATGGCTTTCAACTAAATCTTACAAAGAGAGAATTGTGGGGGTTTTTTGTACTCAGTGAAATGGAAGATGTAATGAACTTATCTGTTGGAGTTAATCCATATGGATAAGAATAGGAATAAAATTAATCATTACACTGACTTGTAGAAATGTAATTTCTCTTAGTGCATAAGCAGTCATATGGCAAAGTTTAAATTTTTAATATAGTTTGTTTTTTATATGGTCATTTTATAGTAGTGTAATAGAAATAATTTAAGAAGCTATTATCACAATGTGATTCTAATATTCCGGAAAGTATCCTGGTGTTTGAATACAAATAAATAATGATTCAGTCACAGCTTCTACTGGTCTGTGAAACTGGATGTTAAGCAATCTGTTCTCGAAAGTGCCTCCCCTAGAATTCGGGGACCACTGACTTCCCCTTTTGTACCCCAATGACCATTGGCAGCGTGCAGTAGAATAGACAGGGATAGAAGGTGAATGTCTAATTTACTTGACCTTCAAAATGCCTTACACTCATACCTAAAAACAGTAGTTTTTTTTTTTTTTTTTTTTAAGTTTTGAAAAATCTTGCTGTGATTCTTGTTTTGTTCTTCATGCATTAGGTCTGACTGGAAAGACTTAGTGGTCTTTTGCCCATTTTTGCCATGGAGACCTGAGATATCTTTCACTAAAGAGCTGCTTCAGGCAATGCACAGACACCAGGGGAATCTTTTAGGAGCTTTGCTACCTCATGCTGAGGGTTGCTTCAGGAAGAGATGGCTGTGGGGCTGGGAAAGGCTATTTCCTCACAGAACATAAATATGTCACCTCTCTAGATGGCAGGCTGCGCAGCTTGGAAATGCAGTTTCTAACCTCCTCCACCACCCGAACCTTTACACCCACCCCACCTCGGATACTTGGCAACACAGTATCAGCTACCTGAGTGCCCTAGCCAAGGGGCGCTGGGTCTTGTGGCTCTTTAAGTATCTGAGCTTAAAATGTTGATTCCAGTGCATGATATTCTAGCTGGGAAGCTACCCTAGATGTCTGGAGGAAAAAGGAAGTCCGAGGCAACAACAGGATCGACCCTAAGGACCGGCCAGGGAGAGATGGGATTGTTTCTAAGGCCAAAACAGTCCTCACCTGCCTGCAACAGTGTCCTCTGCTGCTTGGATGTGAACTCTCTGCGCCGCACCCTACACTCAGCGCGAAAGCCTGCCTGCTCAACCCCGGGAACGAAACCAGCTCCACGGCCCAGATTTACCTCGGAAATTTATGGGGGAGGCGGGGGAGAAAGCTCAGGTCCTCGAATTCTCAGACTATGCCTGAAGGCCAGCAGAACCGGAGCACAGGGAGAAAGGGAGGTGATCGGGAAGTGCAAAGCAAGCGAAAGACTTTCTTTGCGCCCAGTAGTGTCTAAGGTGGCTTCCTAACCTACCTCGCTAGGCGACCCCAGGACTGAGGTGGAATCGGGGAACCTCAGGGTAGGAGGAGTAAGTTGAGGTGCAGCCTTGCAAGGGCTGAAGAGGCTGGAATGAATGCGAGCGACGGAGGTCCCCTTCCGGGTGCAGTTGAGGTGTCAGTCAGGATTGGGGCCGCTCCCTCTCACCCCTAGCATCCCTGCTTCAGCCGCCACCACCCAGGGGCCCCAGATGCCCCGCCGGGTACCCGACCCGCGCGAGACGCTGGGGAGTGAGGATATTTTGCCTTTGTCCTGCTCGCCTACCTTGGAAACCATTTCCTCGCGAGGCGCGAAACCTCTCCAGAGCTGCAGGCACGGAAAGTCCGACTCCTGGGGACCCCGCTGGGCGGAGGCGGCCTCAGCCCCGGGGCGCTCTCCAGGCGGGCTCGGGACTGTCACCCACCCAGCTTCGCGCTGGGGTCAGACTCCTGGCTTCCCTGGGAGCCTGGCGCGAAGCCCAGCGCCCCAGGGCAAGTTTGTGGGCGACCCGGGCGCAGCGGGGAGTTGGGGACGTTGGGTCGGGCGGCGGCGGAGGCAGTCCTACCTCGGTCCCGGGAGCCTCGAGGTGCCATCCATGGTGGGGAAGGCGGAGAGGGCGGCAGAGGCTGCAGGTCGGCGACCCACGGAGCGCCCGACGCCGGGAACCGGGCGGCCTCGGGGTGCTCGCCTGGCGCGCACCCTCTGATCGCTTCGCCTGCTCGGCTCTCGGCCCGGCCCGCCTCGCGCTGCGTCCTGGGCGTCCCGGCCTCAGCTCCCCGAGGCTGCTCCCCGCGCCCTGGAGCGGAGACGACTCGGACTGAAGCCTCTCCCCGCCCTGCTGTCCCCTCCCCGCCCCTTTTCTGGCGCCCGGCGGGCTCAGCCCTGAAGTTGCCCGCTGTCCGGCGCCCGCCCTGCAGTTCCCGCTCTGCCCGCCCGCCGCGCCCCATCCCTTCTGCTCCCAGGCTCACTGGCTTTTATTTTTGTCTCTCTTCCACCCAGTTGGTTGTCACATTCTTTCCTCTACCTCGGGTTCCCGGGTGGCAAAACTGCCATCTCTCCCTTGTGGACTCAGAGCCCCTGAGGACTCAGAGATCTCCAGACCCAGGACAGTGGCCCTTGCCCTGAGACTTCATCCCTAACTCAGGTCCTGGGTGAGGAGCTGGCACGGACGCCCAGTGTCTCCCTGAAGAAAAGTGCCCAGTGTTTTTAAGAAGAGAGGCAGTGAAAGCACCAAATATCTGTTCAGAGGCGGGCACAGTTCATTCTGCACTTAAAAAAAAAATTGAAGTGAAGACTACAAAGGAGAGCCTGGAACTTCTGGGAAAGGGAAGATAAAATAAATGTACTTTTTTCTATAGCTTTTTGTAACTCCAACTCAAATCCTGGAAGCACAACACAAAATGGGAGAGCAGCATGGGAGGAGTCCCGACCTTGAGACTCTTCTTGAGGCCGGGGTGGGGATTCCTGGGGTTTTCCTTCTTGCCTCCCATGCCTCAGCCTCGGGCCGAAGATGCTGGTGAGCTAGAAATGTCAAAAGGCAGAGACAGAAGAAGCCCCAATGAAAATCTTCTTTCTCTAGCCAAATGGCCAGGAAAGGGACAGCTGAGCAAGATAAAATTTATAGACAACAGCTGCTTCGCTCTGTTGAACCCTGCAAGAGACAACCCAAGATCAACTCTCAAGGAACCTGCACAGGCCCTGTGGGAACTCGCATTCCACCACCTGTGGCTCTAACACCCCCTTGTCAAAGAAGCCCAAGTGGAGACCGGGACTTTGATCCCCCCAGGAGGTAGCAGCAGTCTCCCCTTCCTGTCCACCCTCATCATGGTTCCTGTGGAGCCTCGGTCTCTGCATCCATCACAGGAATGGTGTCGCCTTCCCCTCCACACATACAGAGAGTATAGCAAGGCCTAGTGGAGAGCCAGGACGTTTCACATCTTCAGGCAGGAGCAATCCTCCCTTTGGGGCTCCCACACCCACCCAGCATTATTGGGCCCCCTCCCACGCTACCCTGGGGTGGTGTCAGAGGAACCACAGTTCAACAGTAATGAATCCTCCCACCAAGTGTCCGCGGAAGCCAAGGGGAACCTTAGACTTATACTTCACCTGGAGCCAGCTCTGCTCCTACCTGCCTTAGCCTACAGGAGCAGCAGCAAGAAAAGCCAGCTAAAACTGATGTTTAAATGTGATTCACAATGCTCCACATGGGCAGGCTTTAATAGAAAATGACTCAGCAAGCTGAGAACCAAGAGGATTTCAAAGCAAGTGAAAAATAACACAAAACAATCACCAGATGCTAACACTGAGATGACAGAGATGTTAGAATGAGATGTCAAAGTTTCAAAGCAGTCATGATAAAAATTCAGTTGGTCCTTTCTACCCATGGCTTCCACAGCCATGGATACAACCAACTTCAGAGAATATTAGGAAGAAAATCTGTCTGTACTGAACTGTACATCAACAAGCTAATCTGGCACCTACCAAAAAAGCAAAATAAACTCAAATAAAAATGGATAGAAATAATAAAGAGCAGAAATCAATGAAATTGAAATTAAAAAATGGTAAACAAAAAGGATGAAACAAAAAGTTCCATCTTTGAAAAGATCTGTGAAATTTTCAGACTTTTATAATGACTGATGAAAAACTGAGAAGCCTCACATTGCCTATAGCAGTCACAAAATCAGAAATATCACTATAGGTCCTGTAACCAGAAAAATATTAATAAGGGAATACTCTGAACAAGCCTGTATGTAAATATTTGGTAGCTTAAAGGGATTAGAACAACTTCGTTAAATGTACAAACTACTAGTTATGGATTTAATGGTGCCAAACCCTACTCCAAAAAAAAAAAAAAGATATGTTGAAATCCTAACATACAGTACCTCAAAATATGATTTTTAAAATACAAGATCTTTGCAAATTTAACTACAATAAGATGAAATGTTCAAGTGAGCCTTAACTGAGTATGATTGGTGTCCACGTAGAAAGAGTACATTTGTGCATAAGCATGAAGAGAGTGAAGGAAGAGATTCATGGCAAATGTCCTGGGATAATGGTGGCAGAGATTAGAATTATATTGCCACAAACCAAAAAGAGGACTCAGGAAGCTTCCTTCTCAACAGGTTTCACAGGGAGCATGACCTTGCTGTCACCTTCGTTTTGGACTTTTGGTCTTTAAAACTGTGGAAAAATACATTTCTCTTTTTCTTATCACCCAAGTGAATGTAGTTTGTTAAGGTAGTTATAGGAAACTAATACATTAGTTAAACTAATCTGATACAAAATGCATCTTTTGAATAGCAGCATTCCTACTAAAGAAAATGAGTTGAAAACCAAAGAAAATTCTTTTAAAAAGTAAATCACCAGGCCAAGATGGTTTCACAAGAGAATTCTATCAGTCATTTAGAGAAAACTGAAGACCAATTTGACATAATCTCTTGAAGGAAATAAAAAAGAAGTGAATACTTCCTGATGCATTTGATCAGATGGGCATGTCTTGATACCTAAATCAGAGAAACAACAACAAAAACTGCAGCCTAACATTCCAAATGCACAAGTCCTTAATAAAATACTAGCAAACAGAATTCAGCAGTATACACAAGGAATTATAGATCCAAGTGGGGATTATTTTAGGGGTGCAAAGATAGTTCAGTATCTAAAAACCAATCAGTGTAATCCATTATATTGACAGATTAAAAAAACCTTGTACATTCACATCAATCTATGCAGAAAAATATTAAACAAAATTCAACATTTATTTTTTATAAAAAAAAGTTCAGAAAAATAGGAACAGATAGAAACTTACTCAGCTAGATAAAGAGCATCTAGCAAAACCAATAGTCAATATTACGTTTAAAAGTGCAAGACAGAATTTTCCCCCTAAAATTGAAAATGGCAAGGATGTCTACTTTTCTTCAACATAGTACTGGAAGTTCTGACTAGTATAATAAGCAGGAAATATAAAGAATAAGACTGTTCCTACTTGTAGAATACATAATTGTCTATTTTGAAAATCTCAAGGAATATATTTTCAAAAACCTACTTAACAAAGCTAGAACAAGAACTTCTTTCAAGGCCATAGGATGCAAAATAAACATGTAAAAATCAGCTGTATTTCTCTATAATTATAATCAATACATGGACACCGAATTTAAAATTATAAATTTAAATTTACCCAAGAAATTTAAAGCTCAGCTGGAAATCTAACAAAAACATATGTAGGACTTGTGCCAAATACCTGTGAAAGAAATCAAAGAAACGGTAAGTAAGTGGAGAGACTTTCTGTGCTCATGACTTGGAAAATCCATCTTACTAAAGATGTCAATTCTCCCCGAACTCATGTGCAGGTTCAACACAATTTCTATCAAAACCCAGTAAGTGCTGTAAGCAGGTACAAAAAGGTGGTGGTGGGGAATCAAGAGATAGGAAGAGGCACAAAGGAGGGAAGGGAAGGAGAATGAAAAAGGGAATGAAGATGTTTTATGTACATGTACCAACATCCCACGAGGAATGTAAATATGTACTGCACACATGTACTAACAAACAAGCAAAAAATCTCCAGTAAATTTACTTTACAGAATATACATGGAGAGGTAAAAAAACAGAATTACTAAACCAGTGTTTAAAAAGAATGAAGTGTTAGGAGTCAGTCTACAGAATTTTAAGACATTTTTAGAGTAATAAGCATAAGATGGGTGATCAATAGAATGAAATAGGAAGAAAGCCCCCAAATATGCTACACAAACATGCCCAGTTGTTTTTCAACAAAGATGCAAAGGAATTCAATAAAAAAGATTAGTCTCTTTAATATATAATGCTGAAACAATTGGACATTTTTATGTTTAAAACAAAATGAATCTTGACCAAGTTTCTTCATATAAAAATTAATTCGTAATAGGTCACAAACTTAAATATTAAATGCAAAGCTATAATTCTTTCAGCATAAAACATAGGAGATAATCCTTGGATTCTAGAGTTGGGGAAAAGTTCTTAAACTTGACATCAAAAGCACAATCTATACAAGGGAAAATTGATAAACTGAATTTCAGTGATTTTAAGAACTTTTCTCTGAGAAACACCCTGTTAAGAGAATTCAAAGACAAGCCCCTCATTGGGAGAAAATATTTGCAAAGAAGTCACCTGATGAAAGACTAGTATGTAGAACATATTTTACAAACCTCTCACAACTCAACTGTAAAAGAAAACAACTAGAAAATGGGCAAAGGTCATAAACAGACATTTCAGCTAAGATTCATGAATTAAAAACTAAAACCATAAAAATAAGTTCAACATTATTATCCATTAGGGAATGTAAATTAAAACCACAAGAGTATCTCACTGTAAACCTATCCCAATGACTAAAATAAAAATTAGTAACAAGACCAAGTGTTGATGAGGTTGTGGAGAAATGAGTCATTTGTCACTTATTTAATGGAGGTGGGAATGTAAAATGTAAAAGTCATTGTGGAGCAACATGGTAGTTTCTTAAAACATTAAACATGCTAGAATCACATGGCCCATCAGTTCTTTTCCTTCGCATATCTTAGAGGAAATAAGCCTTATGTTTACACAACATCCTTACTTAAATGTTTATATTGGTTGTATTCATAATAATAAAAATCTAAAAACAATACAGGGATCCTCAATGGGCAAATGGTTGAACAAACAGGTAATCCATACCATGGCTCTTTTTTTTTACCACTAAAAAAAAAACAACAGCAAACTATCAATACATGCCACAACCTAGATGAACCTCCAGAGGATAATGCTAAGTGGAACAAAAAGCAATTTCAGTGATTATACTTTTTTATGATTGTATTTATGTGACATTCTTGAAATGACAAAATCATGGAAGCAAAATATTAAGGCAGAGTGGGGAAGAAAGGAAGTAGATATGGATATAAAATTACAACATAAGAAATCTTTGTGTTGATGGAATTATT